CCTGGGCATGGACTGGTCCCTGTCATTTTAAATAGATTCAAAGGCTACTTAGTCTGCACTCAGATATAATTTATCCTTCTCTGATCTCTGATTCCATTTGGCAGCCAGGTTTTGCTTCAGCTGCCTTCTCATTTCTCTATATAAAATACCCAAGTTTCTCTCTCCCAGGTCTACAACTAGGTCTAGACAGAATTTAACTTGTTACCAGATCAGATAAACTCAAGAAAACAGATTTCAGTGTAACTTTTTACTATTGGCTGCTCTCAGTATCTCCTGGAGAATTAGACAAAAGAAACATCTTTAAGTTTTGTCTATATGAAGATAGGAAAGCTGTCTCGCTTCTGTTCACTCTGATGATGTTTACTGAATCCTCCCTCCTACACTCAGTCAAGCTCTTCCTTCAGTAAATTTCTGCTGCTTATAAAGTTATAGATGTTTCATTGTGCTTAAGCCAGGAAATGTTCACACCTTTTAACCCAAAGTCATAGCCTTTTGCTATGATGCCAGGATGTAAATCTGTTCCAGCTGTCTGGCAGATATCTGCAGGCTCCTGGAAAAAGTTCTGTTACTGTATCAAGAAATCACTGTCTGATGAAAACTAACAGTCTCCAGAGCCCATTTTGACCCCACCCATTTTCAAGCTTATTTTGCAGTTTCACTTCTGCCTGGGCTAAGGCCAGCCCACAGAGAGTCCTCCAGATACACCAGCCCCTGCACCAGCTCTGAGGATGCCAAGCACAAACAGAGGATGCCCACTGGGATGGATGCACCCCCACCTCCAGTGAAACAGCAGATTTCATGGCTCATGTACTCCTAAAGAATACGTCATCCCTCAATTCACTGCTAGTACCACCTCTCCAGACTCAAGCAGGCACCTACCCAGCAACCAGAACCTGGTTTTGCACAATGTCCCAATAAAGGGCATATCCACCCATGTGTCTCACTTATTCACCCTTGCCTCTTCATTACAACCAGGACACTTCTCTGTTCCATTCTTTCTGACAGTTATCTCTCTTCCCGTGGCTCGCCCCACTCATGAGACCAATGGCAACAATCTTTTTTTTTTTTTTTTTTTTTTTTTTTTTTTTTTCTCCTAGCAACCTGTAGTTGATATAATATGCACCCAAATAAACTTATCTGGGGGTCAGAGAACAGAACAGCCACATTATTAAGCATAGAGGTTAGGCTGCTGTAGCACATGCTACATCCTCGCATTCTAGAGGCAGAGATTCGTCTGGATTTTGTGAGTTCAAAGCCAGGCATGGTGACACACACCTTTAATCCCAGGAAGTGATGGCAAGAAGCAGAAAGGTATATAAGGCATCAGGACCAGGAACTAGAGCCTTTTAAAGCTTTTAGCTTTTAGCAGCAGTTCAGCTGAGATCCATTCAGATGAAGACTCAGAGGCTTTCAGTGTGAGGAAAGACGATATGCTGAGGAACTGGCAAGGTGAGATTAGCTGCAGCTTGTGTTCTGTCTCTCAAATCTTCCAGTGTTCACCCCAATACCTGGCCCCAGGTTTGTTTTTATTAAGACCTTTTAAACTTCATGTTACAGCAACCTGCTTTCTCCGCTCCCTCAAGGAACAGGCCTGAGATCTCCACCACTGAGGTGGCCACAATGACAGCCAACTGAATGCTCCTTCACTCACACATCCCTCTGTACATGACCCCAACTCCCAACTTCCTCCTCCCACTTTGCCCCACAATCAGCAGGAAGAGGTCTTGAGAATTCGGTGCCCTTATTCCCCCAGTTGCTATCCATAACTTGCCTTTTTATACTAATCAACATGGAGGAATGTTACCATTCTGACAGGCCCCTTGGAGACCTGCCCTGATCCTGTAATAAATCCTCTTTTAGGGAAATCCCTCCCTTGTTCTTCCTCTTCCCACTTTCTCCCTTTCTCACCATGAGGTGTGCACACCTCCACTTTCCATCTTTCTCTCCTTCTCTTTCTTCCTCTCTCCCTCTTCCCCTCTCTTTCTCTCTCTGTCTCTCTATTATGATAAACTCTCTCCACGTGAATGCCATGCCTGGGGTGTGAGTGACTTTCCAACCTGTGACACCACCCACCACTGCATCTGTATGGCGTGTCTCCCTCACCCACTGGGACACCAAGGCTCCTGCATGCCATGTCATTAAGGGAGATGCCTGGCCCTCCAATTCTGAGCACCTGGCTAAAGGTGGCATCTGAGGACATCTAATCACCATGGGATCACTGATTTTATAATTGGAATGAAGAGTGCTCAGATTGGATTAAAGCCTGCTGATCTAAAAGGGCCCAGAAGTAAGAGACATTGTTTTGCAGATCCTGAGAAGATGGCAGAGATAGTCAAATGGGCTATGCTGTAGGATATGAGGGGGAGCAGGACAGAGGACAGTGGAGAAGGCCCCGAGACCCTGCAGCACCTATGCCTGACTGAGATGGGTCAATACAGCTGCAGGACTCCAGCCCTAAGACCAGCCTCACTACAACTGACCGCTGGGGTTTCTAGACAAGTCCCCTCTGTGAACGCCCACCAGACACCACTTGCCCTCTGTCACTTTTCCTAACACTCAGGTCCTGGGGTTCATTCCTCTGGACTCAGGCTGGACCTTCTAAAGCTTGCCTCTGCCACTCCCATAGTCTTGGACTGAGCCAGTATCCCTTACCTGCCAACTTCACAGCCTCCCAGGGCAGTGTTCAAGGCTTGATGCTCCTGGAGTGCAGCTTAGCAGCCTGTCCTGTTCAGGAAGGCCCTTTATTCACTGCGGAGTGCTGACATCATGCTCAGAGCCCCAGGCCAGAGGAAGAGGGACTGGCCTGACCTCATTCAGCTCTGTCCTCTACAGGGTGGGGATGGGTGGGGGTTAGTGAACACCTGGTCCCTTGAGAAAGAAAAAACTAGTAGGAGCCTTGGGTCTCTGGATGACAGGGCACAAAGGGAGAAGATTCCCAAGGGTGCCAGAGCACCTGGTGGCTGTAGCTGATACCAAGTCTCCATCCATGCCAGGGACTCAGCTGTGAAGGTGTTTAGTCCAGGTGTCTTGTTAGTTCTGCACTATCGTAGACCCACAGGCAGAATCCTGGTGCTAACTTCCAGAAGAGACATTTCCAACTGCTGGGGTGTAGATGCTCCACTGGAGGACCCCTCCATGCACAGTGACAGAAATAGACACTGAGGCAAATTTGTACAGGATATCTAGTCTTCCTTCCTTGCACAGGGCACACGGTATTTGCACAGCTCAAAGAGAGACCTCCTCAAATTTGGAATCTTAGGTGTCTCACCTTTAATGCTTTAGACTAAAATAGTATATTTTATGTGTGTGAGTGTTTTGCCTGAGTGTATGTCTGTACACCATTTGCATGCCTGGTGTCCACAGAGGCCAAAAGACAGCATGAGATCCCCTATACTGGAGTGTTTGTTAGATCCTGGAGTTGTTTGTCCACGTGGCCATGCCGAGGGTAGCTTAGGAACTATGTCCCAGGACAGATGTATTTATATCAGAAACCCTTATTCTCAAGGTACTAATTCTCTTTTAAAGCATACAGTGAGTGTCTTTGAGTATATTCATGAAGCTATATGACAGTCATCACCATATAATCCCTGACTTTTATGTTTACTTCTGATTATCAGTATCTGTTCCCCAAACCTACCCTCATTTCCTATCAACCAGTAATCCATTTTCTGCCTGTATTTGCTAGTGATGACTATTTCTTGTGAATGAAATATGTGGCCTGTGTGAGGTCTTCTTTAACTAACCTGATGTTTCCAGGGCTCATCCTTACTGTTTCAAGGGGCCCATGATTAGGTGAGGGCCATAGACATGCTACACAATGCCACCTACAGCAGGCAGAGTGTTTTTCAGAAAGCTAAACTCAGGTCAAGCCATAGTTCTTGACTCTGCCTCAGAAAGGAATTTCAGGAAGAGCCAATATAAAGTAGAGTTGAATTTATTAAGAATAAACAAATATATATTTAAACACAGGTGATATACAAAGAGAGGCCATGTAGGAAATGAAACGACGAGACTACCTAAGCATGCAAGTGTCTGAAGGGAGAACATGGCTTCAGTTTCTCAGCAGTAGCTACACATGTGGCTTTAGTGATTCTGAAAAGTTACATCCCAAAATGTTGCTAAGGAACCACACCTTCCCTGTTTTATTTAATGGAGGTTCAACTTCTATTTGTTCAGTTATTTAAGGACAGGCATTTTAAACCTCAATAAATTAAGCTATATGAGACCAAGATACATAAACAGAACTTCAACATAGTAAGATGCCTTCTGTAACAGGACCATTAGAGACTTCAGACACACAAAAAGCTCACACTGTCTACAGGATCACACATGTAGTTCTCCCCAAGGTCAAGTTTCCAATTGGCTGAGCCTGAGAGCTCACTCAATTTCACACTACCTGTGACACACTCAGTCTAGAAAGCTTTCCTTATGTGCTCTCCTTCTGGCTAATGGACGGCAGCTTTTCACCAATCTCTTCCTCCCAGAAGCTTTCTGGTGCCATTGTCTTCCCCAGGGTGCTCATTTTCTGCTGCTTGGCTCCATGTTTCCACAGAGGCTGCTCACACCCCTTGTCTTCTGACCCTGACCCAGCAGGGAGTGACAGCAGCTGAAGGGACAGAGGCTTCTGGCTTTCTGTCTCATCTTGCTTGA